AATAATATTTAATAATAATAATAATAATATTTAATAATAATAATAATAATAAGAATAATAATAATAAGAACAATAATAATAAAAAATAAGAATAATAGTAATTATTAAGTAATCATTATTACATAATAATTATTATTATGTATATTTATATATATATATCATCGATGACGTGCAAATGAGGTTGTTGTTGTTGTTGTTGTCGGTGGTGGTGGTGGTTGTTGATGGTGGTTGATGGTGGTGGTGTCATTATAATTATTATTATTCATTAACACAGCACGGAAGGATATTTTTTACGCGGCACATGTATGTAATTTTTTTATGCATGCATGCGTGCGTGCGTGCGTGCGTGCGGCGAGTGGTGGTGTTGTTTTTTTTTTTGCTCGTTTATTTATAAATTATATATTATATAATATATCATCTTGTGTTTTTTTTTTTTTTTTAAATCAGACACGATCGAGTTTTGCTTGCATATACAATGTAGATTTACTGATGCTCGGTTGACGATGACGACGACGTTGACGGTGTACGGAAAGGGAAATTGATTCTGAAACAAAAAAAATCGCGACGTAAGGTGAAAGGAAAAAGGCTTTTTTTTTTATGGTTTTCTTTTTTGTAGAAAATTTCAATTGAGTTCAAATACTTATATATTTACAAAATGGGGGGGGGGGCTTACGACCCAATGAAATATTCAACAACAGGGCCTTACGTCACGATTTTTTCTTCTTCCTTTTCTCTTTTCCTGATATCAATATCTTTCCCTCTTACCCCTCCTCCTCCTCCTACACCCCACACTAAATTTAAATGTATCAACAATTGTTCCATGTAATTTTCCATCCTTATCTCTAGATGCCCTTCTTTCTTTAAATTGAATTATTTTAGATGCGTTAATTATAAATAATATTATCCATGGATATATACAAACGCACCATACGCAACATACGCACGCAACTCACGCACACATAACACTCTCGTCGTCGTACATTATTATTATTAATATTATTAATTATCGTTATATCGTATCATAAAACACTTATCTTTTATACTTAATATTAAACGATCACGCGAGATCTTTTTTTTTATCTTCATTTCGGAGACTTCATTAAATGTTTTTCTCTTGAAATAAATATAATATATATTTATAATAATAATATATTATATATGTTTATAATAATAATATATATATCGTGATTATACTT